CTGGGCGAAAAGACAGCGGATGAAGCACAGGATTGCTTGAGCCACTGATATTCTGTTGGTAACACGGCCTGCGTCTCTTATCTCATAAACAAATTGAACACAGCAATAGTATAATCGACAGGGGACGAGGCTCCATCGGAAGAAATCCCACAGGCCAATCTGAAATTGCACCAAACTTGCTTTTGTGCTGCCTTAATGAGGGAAGAACTGCCATGCTCCAGTGCTGTGGATATCCTCTCTCTCACCTGAGGGCGAATACCGCGTTGGCATTCCTGCGATTACCATTGCATAACCCTTCCCCTGGAATTAGATGTTCCGTGAAGATTTGCATCATTAACGGCACAAACCTGGGCAGATTTAGATAGAAGAACAGTTCTGCTTCCAAACCATGCTGGCTGGGGCCTGCCGGGGATTTCGGGATTTTGGGGACTCTTCTTCTGTCTAAACATGTGTAGGATTTTGTGTTTAATTGGCTTCTTGGGGGACGGAGGTTGTTTGTTGCTTTTTCTTTTCTTTTTGAGGTTGCAAGTGTGCATGAAAAGTTTCGAGCCACAAGACCCTAACACTTTTAGTCATATGTTATTACTTGCAAAGGTTGTATTGGATGATTGTGCCATATAGGGATGTGCGAGGAGTTTGATTTGGGGCTGGAAGTCACCTGGATTCCCTGGGGTGCCAACCTGCCTTCTCACAACCATATGGCCTGTGTGTGTTTGTGCCACACGTGATGTGGAAGAAGGTTTCTGGTTGCACAACCGGACTTCCACGGGTGTTCTCAGGCTTCTTGGCTCTAATCGCTTTCTAAGCCACAGCCTAGCACAAGGGGAAATCTGCAGACTGGAGTGGGATGGATTCTGTGGGACTTTGTTGCAACACTGATGTCCTGTGAACAGCCTGGGATTAAAAGCGGACCACATGGCCCATGTGGCTGCTGCCCAGTCTGCAGTCCACGTATGAACAAGGTCCACACCGCTCTCCCTTGTTCAAGCTCTCTGTCAATAACTGGATGTTCATTTCTTCATACAGAGGACTGCCCCCTGTAAAGCAGGGGTACAGTCTCTACCAGGAATAATCCAAGGCAGGCAAGCACCCTTGGGGTGTGAGATGCAATATGCCACATAGCTGGACAGGTTCCCTTCGCAGTGTCACTCCTGACCCTGGGCTTTTATATGGCCTCCTGGGGCTGGATTGGTCACTGAGGTCAGCTGACGGATTACTCGGGTAGCAGAGCTTGGATGGCCGCTAGGGATGCATCCACGTGAAATCCATTCCAGTGCATGGCTGATCAGGGTTTCCCCAGTTCCCATCTTCCAGACTGAACACAGTCCAGGACACCATCTACAGCTGAAATCCTTAGATATCTGAGCTTGCAGCATGATCTGAGAACCAAAAATAAAGCAACTGTTTTCAATCAATGGGAGGGGAAGGAAGACATCTCCAGGATGCACCCAGCTGATGTGTGCATTTGGGAAAACGGGCAGCGGCGTGCGCACCGATCTTCATGCAAGAACAAAAGCCAAAACCAGAGCTTGCCACTTGAGCATGGCTCGAGGTGGTGCCGTGCAGATCCCGGCTGTGGTGCAGCTGGTAGCCATGGTGGGGAAAACCTGGGCTCTCTATGGGAGGGTGCCCATTGAGGACGCCTTCTCCAAGGGCCCCCAAAAGCTGCAGCTGGCACTGGCGGCCGATCCCTGCCTTGATCCAAACCAATATTTTAGGTATAGGGATGTCAATTCCAGGTCTTCTACTAGACTGTGGTGGAAGAGGGTATTCTAGAAGGAAGAAACCTGTCTCAGGTTGTTGCTGCCTGCAGAAAGAGAGAGAGAAAGGCTGAAATGCAAATTGTAGTTCCCTGATGCCAATTTTCCAATCTGCTTCCAATCCCCAAATTTCCCCAGGCTTCCTTTTCCTCTCTCATGCAATGTTTTCAAGCCCAACTTTAGTCAGCATCTCTTCTGTAGAAATCTCCATTACAAACGCCTCCATAGAAAATGTTTTTTCCACATTAGAAGGAATTAAACTGGATGCTATTTGGTTATTTTTAATAGGAGTGATTTAGAGCACAGATGGCAGCATTTCCAGATTGTAAGGGCAGGGAGTTCTCTGAGTGTTAAGTTGATATGCTTCCAATGAGGTCTATTAAGCTAAATTTAGCCTAACTTGACTAGCAAAGAAGTCTTGAGGCTGTTAGAACCTAGAGCCCACGGGGCTCTTCAGATTTCCAGATCTGAAGCTGGAGATGGGACCTGATCATGGAGCTGGGAGTCCCTGCCCAGATCAACCACTGGATTGTACCCCATTATTTTATGCATGATTGTAACCTCAAAATACACACATGCATAACACTTCATACCATTATTTAACCATACTGCAGGATGTATCCTGAAAAAAGCACTCCTTCCACATAACAGTAAGCGTGTCATGGCGATTTTTCTAGTTAGTTTGGAAACACTTTTTAATAACAAAAATCCTATGCATGTCTGCCTACATGCAGATGCCTTTGAATTTAATAAGACCTACCTTAACTAGGTAAGTGGCCATAAGGTAAGCGCCTCTGTGATTTCTCAGCAATTTTCCCCATTTTGGGGGTTGCAACGGATCTCAGTGAATTAGGCATCATTCACCTAATTCATGCCTTTATTCCCCAAATCCTCAGTGAAGAAAAGACCAAAATATGCACATCGGTAGCCTTAGAATGGGCTTAAAGGTGCTGCATTCAATATTGGTTAAATGTATTTTAAAATGCAACAGGATGGAAAAATGAGGACACACATGGGTTGGGAGACAGGCACACTTAGAGCGGACCCATTGAAGTCTATGGGACTTATACTTGTCATGGCTGACTTACTTTCCACTGATTTCTTGACTATGTCTGGGTCAAACCCATTGGCTACAACACTGAAAAGCCGAGGATGCTTGCTCCAGCTTGGCTAGGACTCTGCCCACGTGATTTTCTGCAAGTAAGGGAACAATCCTGCAGTCCTTGGGAAAGCATCCAAGGGATTGTAGGATTTTTCAGAGTTCTCCTCCTGGAGCGATTGACAATGCTAACTCCATGGAAGGGCAACTCTGAATACTGACACCCCCCCCACCCCGCATTCCACCCCATCACAGCTGATGCCGAAAGAATCGCATGGTCTGCTCCATGAGCTTGCAAATGCAGCCTTGGAGGGAGGAAAAATTGAGTGTTCTGGAGGATGGGGAGCAGAGGGGAGGGTCAAGCTCGGAGGTAACGGAAAAATAGCCTTACAAAACCAAAGGAGGAGGGGCAGGTGAGAATTGCCTCCTTCGCTTTTGCTGCCCTGCCAGCAGTTGCCCTGGCAAAGCATGGTCCACTCCGTGAGTATCGGTTGGAGAGGTTTGTTTCCAGAGCAATGCCTTTGCAGGCCAGCTGGAAAGTCTAGGAGGAGATAGGGATATTCCCGATCTCAGTCATTGCCCCCCCCCCCCCACCCCGGTCAGGCCCTGTTCAGCTGCTCAGGTTCTGGAGGAAGACCCTGACTCAGCATCAGAGAAAGAAGGATCTGGATCAGGGCCCGGTCACACGACGCAAGGTCAGGCTGCGGGGAGTGTGTCTCAGTGATTTCACAGAGGGGGCGGTCGGGGGAACCAGCTACTTATGCAGCCAGTGCTAAACTTGGAAGGCCCACCTGGGCCAGGTGCAGCTGAGGAAACATTCCATTGGTCGGTGAGAGGAAACAGATGTGGCCAAAGGCGCTCAAGCCAAAGCAAGGGCAATGACTGAAGAGGTGACGGGGGGAGCCATCTCATGGATGCAGTTCATGGCACTGGGCCAGGCTTCCTGGCAGAGCGAGATAGGCAAGCGGAGCGCCTTCCCTCCAGGAGCAAAACACATTTGTGAGCACAAAATCACTAAACCAGGCATACCTTCTTCTAGGCCCCTGGACTATTTCATACCTTGAATCTCATGTCTTGGGAATCACAAAGTGCTTGTGGGGCTTGAATCACAAAGTTGGGCTTTCAGATCCTGACTTCTATTTCTGTTTGGATTACCTGAATTAAGTGTACTACAGGTGGTGATGGGGTGTGTGTGTTGGGGTGGGGGGAATCCTCTTACAGATCAGAAACTGGTTAAGGAACTGATTGCAAAGAGGGGGACTAAATGGTAATTTCTCCCGTTGGAGGGGTGCAAAGAGTGGGGTCCCACAGGGCTGTGTTTGGGCCAGTGCTTTTCAATGTATTCATAACTGGTCTGGAATTAGAAGTGGATAATGAAGTGGCCGAGTTTGCTGATCACACCAAACCATTTAGGGTGGTGAAAACCAAAGGGAATTCTGAGGAGCTTCAAAGGGATCCTCTCCAGGCTGGGAGAATGGGCAACAAAATGGCAGCTGCAGTTCAATGTATGCAAATGAGGAGTAATGCATGCTGGGGTGAAAAATCTCAACTCCAAGTGTACTCTGATGGGATCTGAGCTGGCGGTGAGTGAGCAAAAACGGGATCTTGGGGTGGTGGTGGACGGATTGATGAAATTGTCGGCCCAGTGCTGAGCTGCTGTGGAGAAAAAAACCTCCATGCTAGGCACCTTTAGGAACGGAATAGATAATAGAACTGCCAAAACCTGACTGCCTTTATACAAATCTTTGGTGCATCTGCACTTATAATAATGTGTGCATTGCTGGCTGCTGCACCTGAAAATGACTTTATCGAGTTGGAAAAAGTACAGAAAGAGGCAACCAAAAGGATCAAGGGTTAGAGCAAACTCTGAGGAACGGTGGCAAGAGCTGGGGTTCTTTTGCTTAAAATTGTCTGAGCTCATGTGCATGTGGGTTTTGCACTTAAAAGTAGCCTAGCAATATTTCAGAGAAAAGCATAATCTTCATGTGCCTGCTTCAGTTCAATAAAATGAGCGTTACAACCTCACAGGCTGCACCAACCATTCCTGATGAAGCAATGAACACGGCTTTGGTACTGTGCTAATATATGTGAGCTCTCTTGTATGTGCATGTTCCTAATTCCCTTTCTTTCCCTCTTTCCAGCTCTTCTTTATGCAACTATTTTTGGAAACGTCACCACGATTTTCCAGCAAATGTATGCCAACACCAACCGTTACCATGAGATGTTGAACAATGTCAGAGACTTCTTAAAGTTGTACCAAGTCCCTAAAGGCCTTAGTGAACGTGTCATGGATTATATCGTCTCCACATGGTCGATGTCGAAAGGGATCGATACGGAGAAGGTATGACTGTGTGTGTCTGTGTGAGGAACAGCGCTTCTTGGACAATTTAACCCAATCTGCATTTTGTGATAGAATATGAAAAAGATGGAATGGTATAATGAGGCAGAAGTCCATTCGTATTCATTCAATCATTTAGTTATAATGCATACATACATATTTTATTTTATTTATTTTATTTATTTATTAAAACATTTTTATGCCGCCCCATTCGCCGAAGCCTCGGGGCGGCTCACAACAATAAATTAAGACAATAACAATTAAATATTCAAAAATAAGTCAGGGTACTCTCAGGGCTGTGTGTTTTGCACATCACTGTTGTGCAGTTGATGTTGTTTTGTGGCATTGAGTCATCTCTGAGTCATGGCAACCCTGTGAAGGAAAGCTCTCCGCAGTGCCCAATCCATGACAGCCCTGCTCTGCTCTTGTGAATTCCAGGCGGTGGCTTCCTTCCTGGAGTCCATCCATCTTGGTCTTCCTCTTCTTCTGCCTTTGACTGTCCTTCGCGCAATGGTCTTCTCCAGGGAGCCTTGCCTTCTCATGATGGTCCAAAATAGGAACCGCCTCATTTCTGTTATTTGTGCTTCTAGGGGAAGCTCTGGCTTGACTTGATCTGGGTCCCATTTGCTTTTGTGTCAATCCAGATTATTCACAAAAATCTCCAGCATCGCACAATTCCAGAAATTGGTTTTGGGAACAGAACAACTGTTGTGTCCCGCGGTTTTACGGATGAGACCAGAGACCAGTTGGAATTTTCGAGAGAAGAAGTTTATTTACCTGCAGGGACCACACTCGTTGGAGTGCGGTCCCGAGCAGAAGACAGCGGCTTTTTTATACTCTTTTACAGCTATGCAGGTGCTTGAATAACAGCGAACAATGGGGGAACCCCACTGAGCTACATTTGCACATTTTGCACATTTCCCATGCTAAAGCAAGCAAGCGAGGCGTGACATCTGCGGTTATGCTTGAGTGTAGCCTGCTTTGTTGTCAGCCTTGCGTAGCGCGCACATTCGTTGGGGTTCCTGTTCTTGTTCACGCGAACAGGACACCCTGATCATGCTTTTTACCCTTGACGAGCCATGCCCTGGCTGCATGTTTCGATTATGAGGGGGGGTTACAACAACAACAACCCAAGGTCACCTTCCATCCACCCATCCATGCCATACAACCATCCTTTCAGTCATTAAGTAAAAAAGAATACTTTATTTAGGCTACCGTCTGATCGCTGCCACCCCAGATGTTCCTGAGCCACCCAACTCTGAGGCCCACTTGCACCCGTGCCTGGAACGCGGCACGGCGGTTGGGATCTCTGTGGCCACCATGCCTGGCCCATGCATTTCAGGAGACAGACTCGATGCAACAGCAAGCAGAGTGGGGGAAGGGGTCTAAGGCACCAGCAGGAACTGGCATTGGTAGATGGCCCTTGTGTCTTCTCCTCACTGCTCACGGCACCCCCATTTCCCCCCTCTGTGGTGTATTTCTGCTCTCAGAAGGGCAGCTGGGGCAGTTCTTTCCATGCAAGCTGAGGAGGAGGCAGCTGAGGACTCGGCCACTAGGATCATAGCATGGAGGTCAGAGGACCAATTGTGTGTAGCTCTGAAGACTTCTGTGCCCCCTTATAAGATGCCAAGAGGCCAAGGGATCGTGTTATTTGTTCCTGTATTTCTCTAGCGCCTTTCTGAAGCCAGTCAAGGTGGCTTAAAGAAGAATAGAAACAAAGACAAGCATCCAAAACAGCCTCCAAACGCATGCCAACTTAGCAATGGAAAAAGCCACATTCAAATGATGTGACTTGAAAGTGTATAGGTTTGATAGAATCCCAAAGAAATTCCAGCAACTGAATGAAAGGCCAATGAATAAATGCCAAAATGAAAACGATTTTAACATTCAGATCAAGAAACAAACAAGCATTTTCATAACTTTGAACAGTGAGCTGAAACAATGAAATGCATTCCGGAAACTTTGCAGCACAGCAGACTTTCAAGGTGATGCTCCTCCCAGACGCAAATTACTTTATAGCAGTGCTTGGAGAAAGAACATTTAGTATGAAACTGTCCATACTGATCCTTTAATATCCATCTCTTTTTAATATCCCGTGTCTTTTCCCCTTTATCCAATTATTTTGCATACTTTTTCTCTTTCACTATGGCTTCTCTCTTGTGTGTTGTCAATGGATCTGTGAGTCTTTTGGCAATTTTGTCCTGCTTTTCACAACTGGCTTTAAAATATATGGAGAGGTAGCTGTATGAATTCTCTGTGGTGTATCTTGCCATCCACAGTTCCTTCCAAACTCAGTACATTTAAATAAATATATTACCATGTTTATGCTTCCTTGAAGAGCACAATGAAACAGATATGTTGCAATGCAGAGGCTAGCTTGATTTTTTCATCTCTGAGTCTTAGATGCTGGAGCCCTGCAAGCCAACGGATTTTTTTAAAAAGAAGCCCTCAGCATTCTTTGCAATAAGATTTATGACGTTACACTGATACATTCACCCCAGCTTCATATAGTACCTTTCAGGCAGCTAAATGCTCCATTATGAGAAGTTTAATTCCCTTCTTTATAATCCATATAATAAAAGAGCCAAGAAGGAATTGCATATGCCCTGCAAAAAAATGGAGAAAAATTCTATATTTAAACTTTTGCAGCAGGGTTCCTATGGTGACGGGAAATTATAATCATATGGGAACGTGAGGATTTAAAAATAGCTGCTGGCCAATACGTCATGAAAAAGTGTGTCTTCTTAAAATAGTTGGTGTGTATGTCCTAGAACAAAAGAGGAAGCGTTTGTAAAGGACTGGTTAGTGGTTCGAGCTTCAGCAAGATAAATCTGGGTTTGACTCTCTGCTCAGAGATGTGAGAATGAGTGAGGCTTGGTTTTCTCGAGGTTCTTTGAGCCGTATCTTATAAAGATAGGTCTGCCTCATGTCTGTTCCCAAATATAAGCATTTTTTGTTTTTGCTCAAATGGGAAAAGGGGGCTTTGTGTGTGCAATTTTTTAACACATTACTCAAATGCACACTTTTCCCCCGTTGATTAAAATGTGGAAAGTCACTTTTTCCCCAATGTGTGTTTGGAAAGTGTGCCGCTTTCTAACCATCCCATTATGCAAATGTGAAGGTTGGATGTGCGTAAAATTTGCCTGAAAAAACACACGAGTTGTACTATTTAATGAAATGGAATACAATTATTCCGTCTCCCTAATCAAGGCTTGGTTTTATAGGCTTCTGAACTCATTAAATTATAGAGACGCCACCAGCTGTGTGTGTGCTGTGGATGGGGATGATGGTGAGTGGATCAAGGTGGTTGGGTCGTTCTCCTCTGTGCCCATTTCCTTATGAAAGTGACCACTGCCACCCTTCGCTCTTGACATACCAGCTTTGGACGCCTTCTTGATTAGCTGGGCAGTGTTGATCTGGCTGGTGAAATCAGAGCTAATAGGCTATCAGCTACAGTTCTCAGTGTTCCTGGGTTAGGGTGGCCATGTGCCCTCTTTTTCTGGTGGTCCGTTCTCTGTTTCAAGGGCTGCCTGAGGACTCTCCTCTGGGTGAAGGAATCTTTTGATGAAAAATCTGAGCAATCCAGGTCTGATAAAAAAGATAAGGATCCATCAAAAGGGAACACAGGGCTGATCCTGTAGTTGGCACTTGGAATATAGAGTGAGCAGCAAATGCACTGATTCTTCTGGAGAGACTGACCACATTTCTATTTAAATTATAACGTTTCTTTCTAAATGTGCACCTGTAGCTCTAAATTAGCCCATGCCAATTTTATGCTAATCGTGTTGGAGGTATCTCAGTGGCAGAACAGTTGAAACGTTGGGGGGTGCATGTTTTGCATAGGATTGTACCTTCAAGAGGGAAATTGGAAGAATAAAATGCCCAGCAGCTCTGCCTCCAAGGTTCCAGGAAGGGAGGGGGATTCTCTGGGTCCATCTTCATTCCAGCAAATGCCATTGGTGAGCGAACATCACGTGATTTCATCACATGGACAGGCCACGTGAACAGAAGCTATCCAAATGAGGCCAGACGGCAGACCATACCGTGCCCTTGCCAATGTTGGCTTCCAAGATGCACCATTTATTATTTTATTTATTTATTTTTCGATTTATATCCTGCCTTTTTCCTACAAAGGGCTCAAGGCAGCTTACATCTCCTCCTCCATCTTATCCTCACAACAACAACCCTGTGAGGTAGGTTGGACTGAGTGTCTGTGACTGGCCCAAAGTCACCCAGTTGGCTCCATGGCTGAGCAGGGACTCGAACCCAGATCACCTGAGTCCCAGTCCCATGCTCTTAACCACTACACCACACTGGCTCTCAATAAGATGGTGCTTAAGATGGTGCATAAGATGGTGCTTGGCCAAAAAATACATATACACAGAGCAAGATTCATATTAAAGAAGAATTCTTGTCCAAGTTCTTAGGAGTGCGTGAATCAGCCAGATTCAAGCTTGCAGAAGTTCTGAATGCTTTGAATTCTGCCTTGAAGCTTGTTCTGATGCAAGTCTGTATCATCTTGTGAGCTTTGTTTTTCTGTTCTGCATGAATATCCATGCATAGTTTCATGCATAGTTTCCCAAGCATTCATATCGATTGTGCGCATTTTTGAACTGTGTCCATTCTTCTCCCATTGAGCAAAGTATATTTGTGTGCCTTTTTCAAAAATATGCCTTTTATTGCATAGGTTTCTGTACCGGTATGCTGTGGAACACCTTATTTATTTATTCATTTATTATATATAAAGGAAACAACAAAAGAAAGTGAAAGAAAAGAAAGGTTACCAAGGGACCGGTACTAGATCAATAATCTTCCAATACTAGATTATTTATTTGCTTAATTTTTTTCTATACCATCTATTATAGGATATATAGGATTTTTTTTCTATACCATCACCGATTATATAGATGCAAGAAATTCCAGAAAAATTGGTAATAGTTTATTACAACGTGTAGCTACAATTTGAACACAATACTTTGTTAAAAATAATACTTAGTTAAATT